AGATTTTATACTTGCAAATATAAACGTTATGAAATATTTGCTTGCAGCTAAGTTGGGTGTACAGACAAACACTACTGACCAGTTAAAACCTACTTTACAATGGGTGCCATTGGGATCATCAGCCTCTACTTCGGATGAACTTCCTGCGTCATCTTATCTTGGCAGTTCAGACCCTGTGAAATGTTAAAATGTGTTTGTTAGAATTTCCTTCACTTAGTTTTTCTGGAAGGTTTTTGATAATTTTGCATCTATGAACTTAACATTATATGTAACCGTGTGTAGACTATACCTTCTCAAGATGCCTCGTTTCACTAATAAAAATCTACCTGAGGGCTTTGTAGGAAAGAGTTGGGTATTATATAGCACAGAATTTCTTTCTTTTTATGGGGTTATGGACAACCACTTGGAGAACTTCAGGAAAGCTGTGGACCCTCTCATAAGAAAATTACCCATGTATATAGTTGTGTGAACATTTTGGGTTATGTGGAACTCCTGAAGTCCATTTTTAGGGGTTCTGTTTTGCCAAACTCCTGTCCTTTTGGCTGAACTACTAATACGCATTTGAAGCACTGCAAGTACTTTTACCACATTTCATTCAGCACCGTACTATGTTGGTAGATTGTGGGTTAAGTAGGTACTGGGCCAGCTTTAGAAATGAACCACCACTTATAGTATTTTATGGGGAAATGTATCTTCATGAAGCAATGGGCTTTTGTAATACAACTCATTTTAAAGTTAAGGATTTATTATACATTAAGGGAGTGGTGCTTTTTTTTTTATTTAAAAAAATGATTTTATTCTTTTTATATTTACCAAGAGCACAATGTTGGTGCTATTTACCTATGGCTGTGCCCTTAAAATTGAACCAGTCCATTTTAAGTCCTAGTTCTCGTTATTTTTCTTTTTATGTGGGTGATGTTTTACACTTCTGATTATTCCTCGTGAGTATGCAGTTAGGTAATTGGAGCTTGTGAATTATGCAACGTGAATACATCAGGCTTCTGATAAGGGTCGTAAGAAAAAGTAAATATGACACAAGATCTTTTTAAAACAACCACTTAGTCCCAGAGTACTCAAGTGTTGCTTATGAGCTGCAGAAGAGGTTATAGGTCAGTGATAATGCTGGGGAGTGTAGCACTGACTCCTGATAAGGTCTCTAGTAGATTTCTGTCTTTTACTATACTCAGCCTTTATCTCAGAATTATTCTCCTTGACCTCCAGCTTTCCTTCTTTTGTTTCTTTAAGTGCTGTTTGAAGCCTGCAGATTTTTTTTTTAGACTTAGATTATGTTTTAACAACTCTAAAATAAGTTGAAATGTGAAATGTTCAAGCACACCAGTTATTTGACATAAATTCTTTAGATGGTGATTATAGTGAATTTTGTGGTAAAATTAAAATTTAAAAATTAATTTCAAATCAGAATAATCCTGTAGAATCTGCCCATTTCATATGAGAGGATTGGTCATATATGATAATGTGAGAATCTATAGACTAATAAATTTTTTGTCTTACCTAGATGTTTGGCTATCTTGTATTATTTTTATCTGACCTGTAAACATTTATCATTTAGTATTAATGGAGCCTATCATGGTGTCACTAATTTATGAGCCATTTTGATTTTATTAGAATTTTTTTCAGTTTTATTGAGATATAATTGATATGTAACATTGTATAAGTTTAAGGTGTACAGTATCTTGATTTGATATATATTGCAAAATGATTACCACCATAGCATTAGCTAATACCTCCATCATGTCACATAATTACTATTTCTTTTTTGTGGTGAGGCATTTATAATATACTCTCTTAACAACTTTCAAGTATATAGTTCGGTAGTATAAATTATAATCAACATGCTGTACATTAGACTTCCAGAATTTATTCATCTTATATATCTAGACGTTTGTAGTCTTTGACCAACATCTCTCCACTTCCCCCACCCTTCATACCTTGGTAACTACCATTCTAGTCTCTGTTTCACTGAATTCGGCTATTTTTTAGATTCCACATGTAAGTGATATCATACAGTATTTGACTTCTCTGTTCTGACTCATTTAGCAGAATGCCCTCACAGTCCATCCATATTGTTGCAAATGGCAGGATGTTTTTCTCTCTCGTGGCTGAATAGTATTATTTATTTATTTACACGCGCGCGCGCACACACACACACACACACACATACACACGTCTTTATTCATCTGTTGATGGACTCTTAAGTTGTTTCTGTATCTTTGGTATTGTAAATAACACTACAGTGAACACAGAAGACGGATATCTCTTTGATGTCCTGTTTTCCTTTGGATATATACCCAGAAGTGGGATTGCTGGCTTATATGATAGTTCTATTTTTAATATTTTGAGGAACCTCTATATTGTTTTCCGTAGTGGCTGCACCAATGTAAATCCCACCAAGAGTACACAAGAGTTCCCTTTTCTCCACCTCCTTGCCTGCACTTACTATCTCTTGTCTTTTTGATAATAGCCATTCTAACAGATGTGAGTTGATATCCTCTTGTGGTTTTGATTTGCATTTTGCTGATGAATAGTGATGCTGAGCACCTTTTCATGTACCTGCTGGCCATATGTATGTTTTCCTTGAAAAAATGCCTATTCAGTTCCTCTGTCTATTTTTTAATATGTTTTATTGCTACTGAGTCATATGAATTCTCTATATATTTTGGTTAGTCACCCCTTATCAGATACATGATTTGCAAATATTTTCTCCCATTTCATAGGTTGCCTTTTCGTTTTGTTGATGATTTCATTTGCTGTACAGAAGCTTTTTAGTTTGATAAAGTTCACTAGTTTATTTTTGCTTTTTCTGCCTTTACTTTTGATGTCTATTAAAAATCTTACTAATAACTGTTTCTCTTCAGATAAACCTATTTTTTCTTAAACTGGGTTTGGAGTGAGAGACAGGGGGTTCTGTGTTCCTTATATTTAAACATTACATATATGACAGATATATATGTTCTACCTTTAAAGGAAAAAAATAATCTCTTCTTCATATGTGCTGTGTGAAATCATTAAGTATAGCTTGAGGCATGAGTAGAGTAAACTTACTGTTTTGGCTATGGTTCCTTTTCTTGCACTTTTTTCTGTTAAACCAAAAGTATGTAGCACCATTAAAAGTTGAACTTGGCTTTTCAAAAGATCAGAAAGGTTGTTTTTAGAGCTGGCATCATCTTAGAAAAATGCTTTCAGCTCTAAGAAGAAAATGATTCCAAAGAACTTTTTATGAGAAGAATCTTGAAAATTGCAGAGTTTTTATACTTCATAATCTTTAAACCTATAGCTACATGACAACTTTTTTTTGGTCAGTAACATTTTCATCTTTTCACTGGACTTTTTAAAAACGTTGCAACTTTTTCCTAAATAGTCTTAAAGAAATCTTGGTGTATTTCCCCCTTGGAAGAAATGTGTCTAGTGTTCTTCTGTTCAACAACTCCCTAACATTAAGGATATCCTTACTTTAAAAGAAAAAAATAAAAACTTTTGGATTTAAGTATTATTTTCTGAGAATATTGAAATAAAGAATGATCTCTTTTACAAGATCCTGAAGGTAGTTTCCTCTAAGTAAGGGACCTCATTGGCGCTTGCTAGAAAATTGTAGATTTGGTTTAGTACCTAGATCCTGGCAAGACTTAAGTAAGAAAAAGATGGAAGTTAGGAGGTCAGGAAACGGAAAAGAATAACCTGAGAGCTTTTGGGAGGAGGTTGCTTTCATTTTGAAATCTTATTTTGATTGGTAGGAGGGATAGAGGACAGTGAGTGATAAACTTTTGAGGGCAAGACTTGGTATAATCTGTTCATGAATTTTAAGCAAAAAGACCAAGTGTACCCCTATGGAAAAGCACTTCTCAATTCCACAGATATTTCTGTTTGTTTTTTTAAAAAATGAACTGATAAATCCTTTTTGGTGATTTTCAGATATGCTCTTCAGGATGTCAGGATTTTTAAAAAAGTGTTATGATCACAATAGATGATTTTATCTCTACTTGATCAGTCCTACCGAAAAACTGTGGAAGGGCTTGACGTCCATTACATTCGATTGAAAGAGGATGAGTTTTTCTTTTGGGTGATGGCAAAGTAAAGATATAGGTAAATGTATATAACATAACAAAAACTTGTCACTCTACTGACTCTATTGGGAGAGAGAGTGATACTGGAAAAGTTGGAAAAATTTTGAAATCAGTCAGGTCTGAGTAAGAACTTCATCTTTATCGTCTTCTAGCCCAAGAAATCATTACATCTGTGAAATGGATGAGACAGTGTTTTTCTTATTGGGAATGTGTAACCCTGGTATCTGGCACATAGTAGGTACCCAGCCCCTTGGTTCCTTTTCCTTTGGTTACTACTTTCAGAAATCAGCAGATCTTTAACCACTTGTATATCAAGCACTTAAAGGTACAGTGAAAAAGGGTGGTTATGTAAAGTAGGCTAGTTTAGATTTATTCACAGGAAAACATGTTTACCACTAGTTAGTGTGATCAGCACATTGATGGACCTATGTAGGGTATAAAGATTAGCCCATGGTGTCTTTTCTTTAAGGAG